TTCCCCCTCCGAAATATCCAACACAAACTGAAAAATTAAACTTCTGTTATGAATTCTTCTTAGGAGATTTGTAGATTTATCAACATTTTAGGATATGGGCTATCAACTTCCTGACCATGCCATTAAACGTAAAATTACATTAGGTCAAGATAGAATTGAAATGAAGTTAAAAGATAAAGAAATAAGTGAAATGAAGAGGTCACACTTATACTAAATAATAAATTTAATAAAAAAAAAAAAAATTAGAATTACCCCATCTATATCATTCTTTTGTGCTCTAGTATTTTATTAGAAAAAAATATGAGTCCATTGATCCGGCACATATTTATATTCAAGTGATTTATGTAACATGCATCACAAACTATAAAAATTTAAAATTGTATATAGAAATACATATATGCATCAACATTTAAATTGAGGAGGTATTTGCTCACACCAATTCTATCAGTTGATGCTTGGTAGAGCACCATAGTCATCAATAAGATTAGGTTGAAGCAGACTTGATGTAGTATAGTTATCTTTCTAGGTTAGGTCTGTGCTCGTTTGTTTTGCATATTTATTAGTGTAACTTCTAAAATTAAGCAAGCAAGGATGGAAGATGAAGATAGTATTCGGTCCTTCAAGGACTCAGAATGACTCTGTAATGCTAGGTGGTATGACTTTAAGCAGAATAAAATTTTCGCATGCTGTATTGTCATTGCTTGTCATACTAGTTCTCCCCACATTTTTACAACTGTGAGTTCAGGTAGGAAGAAAATCTTTTTTGAACTATGTTGGCCAGAAACAATCAAGCATCCTTAGTTTTCATGAACATCCAAATGCCACATTAATTAGTTGCAGCATGTTGCTTCTATCCTTGCTCTATCTTTTGTTTGATGACTTCTTTCCTTGTGATGATCAGGTTTGCAGAAGTGATTCTTTGGTGTTTCGAAGAGAATCTCGGGCTTGGAGGAGGCTAGCTATCAGAATCAGGAGGTAATCTAAACCCTTATATATTCTGTGATGTGTTCCTTATATATTTTGTTATGTGTTCCTTATATATTTCTTGAGATATAGTTGAAATAGGCTTTCTATTTATTCTTACATTGAGATTGGGAAAGTAAAAACAGAGAAAGTGATTGAGCTGAAAAGTTTTATTGCTCATGCCCCCACAGTTTGAAAATGAGAAATTGAAAAAAAGGAAAAACAAATGATATATTGATTGTTAAGTTTGTTTTCGTGGCTGGCAGAATTGGATTTTTATTTTGAAAATTTCGTTATATGTTTGATTGTTTAATTACAATTCGCAGAAAGATAATTTATTTTTTTGTTGCAATGATTAATAACATTATGTAGATTACCCGTCACAAAGGGTTTTATTTTGGAATTCAAAAGCCAATTTTATCTTTGGCTTAAATTAGTCATTCACATTTGGACCAAATTTGAAAACTGAATTTTTAAAAACTTGGGTCAGCTTTGATCAACCCAAGAGCTTTTAAGTTTTAGATTTCTTGGTCATGTTTCACCAAATTTTAACTGAGCTATTAATTTTTTTTTTCTTTCTTTCTGATTTTATGGTTGGATTAATGGAGTTTAAATAGGATTTATCACTACAAATTTTCAACAAACTCTGTTTCAACAACCATATTTTCTGATTTTGACGATGTGCCTAGTTCAAGAGATTGAGCAGGGAGATAGGAAGAAAAACATAGCTTAAACAGGGAGAGATAAAACTATATTGGACCGGGCTAGCGTTTGCAAAAGAATAAGAAGTTGCTGCCCTTTATATTATTATTATTATTATTATTATTATTTTGCTTCTGCTCTTCTCCTATTTACTCCAGATTTTGGTTAAAATAACAGCACTAGTCATTAAAATTGCTTCTCTTAGTTTTTGGCTGTTGGTGTTCTCCTATTTACTGGACAATTTTTTTCCATTGTTTGAATTGTAATCTTGTAATGTTGTAGAAGATTTTAAGTCAGTTTGTAGTGCAGTGGTAGAAGTCTTTTTTGCCCCTTGTTTAACAAGTTTTGAATCAAACATATTAGACTGACTACAGTAAACCAATACTGTATTTGTCTACAGTATACCATAAACAAATTAGAAATTAATTATCTTAAGAATTACCCAAAGCCATGGTGAGAAGGCTATAAACAATTTGCTAACTACTGCCCCAAATTTGAATATTTGGAGTTGATGAATCCCTTCTCAAGCCTCCAAAAAAGATACAATATAAATAAGACTAAATATTTAAGGGGGAATAAGTAGAATCAAAATTTATAAGTTTGGCATGCCGACGAGGAAGGGAAGGAAACATTTCTGTGATGGAGTTACTCGACCTTCTTTTCATCCCAAGCCTTCAAATGACCATTAATTTCTCAGAAATATTAGGAGAGGTTGCCAGAGAAGATGTCATTGAAACTGAAGAAGTAAAAACAAAACAAAAAATGACATGATTACTCTTTTCCACTGTTATACAACCTAGAATAGAATCAATCATATATTCATATTGAATAAAGATTTAAATCTCCATTCCATCACTCATTTTATATCCATCTAATGTTATCCAACACCATCATTACATGAACTCAAATTAATAATGAAACAGTTAACCAAATAAAAATAAAAATACAGCGAAAAAATACTTTAACAAATTTCAATTACCAAAAAAACCAATAGAATTATAGGGAAATTCTATTATGTGCGCTCCCATTCTGGAAACCCTTATCATCTACACAACTTCTAAGATCTACACCTCCATTTCTTTAACACCCTCATCTCTAATTAGAGTTAAGGGTTCCCCAATTTCATGAATATCCAGAAAGACATCTATGTATATACAACCTGCATACACCTGAAACATCTAAAGTGCATCTGAATCTTCCTCTATCATCCTCTTTTCACTGGGTCAGAAGATAGATCTAGGAAATTATACCTACCAGTGTCTATAATACTAATGCCAGGTGACCATGGCAGTGAACCAACAGAGTATGAAGAAACTTCATTTCTTAATTACTATGTCTTTTAATTTTCTTTAATTGTATTTCACTCTTTTTTTTTTTTTTTTTTGGTTCTTTTTTAAAGAAATGATAAGACGGTTCTTACACTCATTCATTATTCCTTCCATGATGGGCTCCACACACTTATATACATACATATATATATATACATACATATATATATATATATATATATATATATATCCTTTATTAAATCTTGATGGATATATGTTCTTTTTTTTCTTTTTATTTTTTTTTATTTTTTTTTTTTGTGTACATTTAAGCAGTTACATGGATAAGTCTTGGATTCATCATCACACTAGGGGAAGTGTAAAGTATTTTGATGGCATACATGACTTCATTGATGTGGCTAGGCGTCATGCAGAAGTAGACGGTAGGTCCCGATGTCCATGTCGTCGTTGCAAAAATAGGACTTATCATCAAATTGAAGAAGTTAAGCAGCATCTCTTGAGAAATGGGATGGACAAGGGGTATACCAATTGGATATATCACGGGGAGGCTCGTCAAAGCAACAATAATGTTAATATTGATGTTAATGTCAGTAGGGAAAATGTCCACGATGAAGATGGAAATGTAGATAATGTGTTTGAATTGTTGGATAACATACAAATGGGAAACTTCAGTAATGCACCACAACAAGAAGATTCACCTGAAGTTGATGTTGGAGGAGGAAGCTTTGATAGATTATTAAACGATGCACAATGTGAATTGTGGCCAGGTTGTGAAAAATACTCTAAGTTGTCAGCGATATTAAAGTTGTTCCATGTGAAGGTTACAAGCCAAATGAGTAACAAATCATTTGACATGATGCTTGATGCATTTAAGGATATGCTTCCCGATAATAATATGTTACCAAAGTCTCATTACGAGACTAAAAGCTTGTTACGAGACTTGGGTCTCGGATATGATTGTATACATGCATGTAAACATGACTGTGTTCTATTTTGGAGGGAAAACGCAAGTAAAGAAAATTGTCCACAATGTGGTGAATCGAGGTATAAACCTCACGAAGGTAAGGGTAAGAAAATCCCTCAAAAGGTTCTCTGGCACTTCCCATTGAAATCAAGACTTCAACGGTTGTTTATGTCAAAGGATGCAGCCTTAGATATGCGGTGGCATAAGGAGAAACGTGTGAAGGAGACAAATGAGTTAAGACATCCAGCTGATTCAAAAGCTTGGGAGGATTTTGATAGTAAGCATAGTTGGTTTGCTGCTGATCCTCGTAATGTTCGTGTTGGATTAGCAACTGATGGATTCAATCCATTTGGAAATATGAGCAATGCGTATAGTATGTGGCCTGTGATGATTGTGCCTTACAATTTGCCACCTTGGATATGTGTGAAGGAGCCATATATATTTATGTTGTTGCTTATTCCTGGTCCAACATCGCCTGGTATTGATATTGATGTGTACATGCAACCTTTGGTTGAAGAGTTAAAAGAATTGTGGCGGGATGGTGTGATGACATATGACGCGTACAGTAAATGTAACTTTAAAATGCATGCGGCAATGATTTGGACCATTAGTGATTTTCCCGCCTATGCGATGGTATCTGGATGGATGACAAAGGGTTATCTAGCATGTCCGAATTGTAACAAAGAAACATGTTCTTGTTTTTTAAAACACGGACGTAAGATATACTACTTGGGAAGTAGTATGTTTTTATCGTTAGATCACATTTTCAGAAACCATCACAAGCAATTTAATGGCGAAAGTGAAAACAAAGGGCCACCAAAGCAGTTGACGGGTGATGATATTCTGGAACAACTTAACCTCATACCCGAGGTTAGTTTCGGAAAGGGGCCAAATAAAAAGAAGCAAACTCGTGAGGAATTTGAACTTAACTGGACGAAGAAGAGTATTTTCTTTGAACTACCTTACTGGAAGACCATTTTGTTGCGGCACAACTTGGATGTTATGCATATAGAGAAAAATATATGCGATAGTGTGTTGGGGATATTATTGGACATTGAAGGGAAAACTAAGGACACATTCAAAAGTCGGTTGGATTTAGAAGCAATGGGGATTAGAAAAGAACTCCACCTGAGACGTAATGGTGAAAAATTTGAGATGCCACAAGCGCGCTACACATTGTCAAAGAATAATAAAAGACAACTATGTGAATGGCTAAAATCAGTTAAGTTTCCAGATGGCTATGCATCGAACATAAGTCGGTGTGTGAATGTTAATAATTGTAAGATATCTGGATTGAAAAGTCATGATTCACACGTTCTCTTACAACGTCTCCTCCCTATTGCTATACGAGGATTCTTAAATTCAGATATTTGTAACACAATAGCTGAGCTTGGTTTATTTTTCAAGGAATTGTGTTGTCGAACTGTCAAAGTGGATGTCTTAGAGGCAATGGAAAGGGACATTGCTGTTATACTAAGTAAGTTAGAGATGATATTTCCTCCGTCATTTTTTGACATTATGGTGCACTTGGCTCTGCATTTGCCGCGTGAAGCCATCATCGCAGGCCCTGCACAATATCGATGGATGTACCCGATTGAAAGGTGCTGTATATTTTTAGTAAACCAACATTTTTTTTTAACAAGTTTTATTAGTTTGTTATTAAATATTATTGGTTTGATTAACGGTTATGTAGATTTTTGCATACTCTCAAATTGTACGTCCGTAACAAAGCACGTCCGGAAGGGTCCATTGTGGAAGCTTACGTGGACGATGAGTGCCTCACATTTTGTTCAAAATTTCTTGGAGGGATTGAGACAAGGTTCAATAGAGAAGAAAGAAATAGTGAGGGGAACTACAACAATAATTGGTCCACATTTTATGATCTAAAGCAAGTGGTTCGACCGATAGGAGCACAAAGTTTGGACATATTGCCCCGTGCGGACATAGAGATGGCCCGATTGTACGTTTTACAGAATTGTGAAGATGTTTTGTCATATGAAGAGTAAGTAACTCATTGCATGTCATATCTTGTCAGCTTCTATGAATATATAGTCTATTTCTTAATACATGTATACAATTGTATCATTAACATAATGTAATTGTTTAGAAAACACAAGGTAGAACTTGAGAGAGAAAATCCGCGCAATGTTCCTCAAAGACATGCTAAAGAATATTCGAGGTGGTTCGAAACAAAAGTAAGTCCATTATGCACCTATTGTACTTAATTAAATAAAATTCTTTAATTTAATTAAAATGAACTGTCATTCATTTATTTAACACTACACTTCTTTTAATAGATAAAGGAAATGTGTCATCATCAAAAGGAAACAACTTGTGATGATCTGTATTCATTAGCGTGTGGACCTCAATGTCTAGTGAGTCAATATTCCGCGTGTATTGTAATTAGGAATAGGTTCCATACTAAGGAAAGGGAGCAAAATCGACGAACACAGAATAGTGGCGTGTTAGTGAAAGGAGAAGACCAAGATTACTATGGTGCCCTAACAGATATCATTGAGTTAAGATATCCTCTGGGTAGAAAAATTTTTCTTTTCAAATGTGATTGGTTCGATGTTAGGATTGGTACCGGTGTACATAAAGATACCTATTTCATAAGTGTAAATGTAGCCAGTAGAGCGTACAAAAATTAGCCGTTTGTGTTAGCAAATCAAGCATTGCAATGCTTCTATGTCAAAGACAACAAATTACAAGGGACGTGGGAGGTAGTTCAAGATATAACAAGTAGAAGCTCATTTGATGTACCTGAAAAAGAGGGTGAAACAGGAGTACATGATGAAATGCTCAACACTACAGCATACCAAGAGAGCGAACCAAGCATCGTGGATGGAGTTGTTGAAGCGGACTTGGACATGGATCCATTCCCTTTGAACAGGGATGATTTGGAGGGTGAAACTCTTGATGCTGAAATGATTCAAAAATGTAGGGGTGAAGCAGCCATTAATGATGACTTTTGGGATGTTAAGAATGATGAAGCTCTTGACATTCAATATAGTTCAGATGAGGAACCAGAATTAATGTCTGAAGATGATACTGATTTGGATGACATGTGAAGCTTTTTATTCTTGAGCATGTACATCATTTTATTGTTTTATGATTAATACTTTAAGTGACCAGCTGAATTATATTACCGAGCTTTATCTTTTGAGTTACTTTTTGTTTAAATTTCTCTTTAAGTATTGTTTCTGTGCTTCATTAATTTGCAGTTTTGATTTGGTTGACTAAATTAATTGTTGTATTTGAGCATTTACTTTTTTTTTTGGGTTTATGATTATATTTAATGTGATCTATTCAGTTATATTACCTCTAATTATTGAATTTTTTATTCAATGGAATTATGTAAATATGAAATGATGACTCAGAATATATTTTGCATATGCTTGTTTATTTTGATTTAATTTTACTTGATTCTTCATATCAGCTTGTAAACTAAATTATGGACACCTCCGAGGAACCGAGGCGTAGAGTTTTAAGGTCCCGCAGGGCTGAAACTGAGCGACCATCTACAAGTTCACCTCCTACACAACCAAATGGATTAGGTGAAGATAGGAATTCAACAAATGAAAGAATGGAAGGTGATGGTAGTAATGAGCAGATAGGGCCACAACCAAGTGGAGGTAATTATGCTTCATCATTGATTAACCATAAGTTCTTTTGTAAAATGCCTACGCTTTAATTAAGATGATAAATTTGTTTTTCAGGTCCGATACGAAAAGGGCGTGGAAGAGCAAAAAATGAAGCCTTGCACAAAATTAATGAAAACAATTGGCCAGTTCCAGTTGAGTTTGGAGAGGGTTATATTAAACCTGTTGGTTTAAATAACAAATTATGGACGGCTGAGGTTGGCATTAATACACGAGATACCGAAGCCCTTCTAAAGTATAAAACGTGGAGGGATGTTCCAGATTTTGAGAAAGAGGTCTGCTATGACCATTTGAAGGTAATGATAACCATCATTTAATGCTTGTTTTGTTATAAAAAAATCAGAGATTACTGGTCCAATTGGTTACAAATTATAGCTTACTTTAATTTTACATTATAAAGGAGGTCTTTGGAGTGGATGCATACGCAAATGACATTGATTTTAAGCGAGTAAATATGGGAATTTCCAGCGCGTTGAGGAAATATAGATATAAATTGAAGTGTCATTTTGAAGAGCATCTTCCGATTGAGAATGCACGCCGCCATCCTTACAATGGTATTGGTAATGCTGTTTGGGAAAAATTGTGTGATACGTGGATGTCACCTAAATTTCAGGTTCAATTTCTTAACTACTTGTTTTTACTATTTAATATAATAACTTCATTCACTAGTTATTTAGGTTTCCTAACTTGTAATATTGTTTGAATTACTACTTGGGAAATAAGTGCAAAAAACAAAGAAAATCGTTCCAAGAATGAGGTTCCACATTATTCTGGATCAATGTCCTTCGTCAGACTTTACGATGATTATGTGCATAATATACGAAACAATAATTATAAATTTTTTATTTTATATTCTACGTTCTAAACCATATATTTGTCTAATAGTCACTATTACTTTGTACTATAGGTCAAACTCAAAGAAAGGCAGAGCCAAGAAGATGAGGACGGTGAAAGGGAAGAGGATCCTACTATTCGTTTGTACAAGGACACACATTTTAAGGAACAAGGTGGATGGGCACACGAGAAAGCTATGAGGAATTTTGTAAGTTAACTATAAGCTAGCATGTTAGATTATGAAATTTGGATCTCATAATATTATCCACATTGATTGATTGTGTTGGATTTGTAATTTATCTGTTTTGCATAGTTCAAATATGTGTCTTATATCTAGGGTAGAAATCTAGAGATTTAATAACAACTCATGCCAAATAAATGTTCTATCCCCTTACATTCCATAACTCCAAGATACTTCAAGTCTAGAAACCCCTCACCATCTCTGTCTTGACTCACATTCTTTAAAATTTCCACTTCTACTAAATACATACATGAGATCTTTGGATGTATCATGAAAATTAATGAATCAGTCCATTAATTGGGGTTTCTTGAATTAAAACTTGTTTAGAGTAAAGATTAATTTTAATTAGGGTTTCGTCAATCTTGGTTGTGACTAAAAATTATACCTATAGCAGGAGAGAGAAGAGAGAGAATGGAATAGCTTGTATCTAGAGAACTTATTAGTCTGCTACCCAGCAGGAGAGAGAAGAGAGAGAATGGAATAGCTTGTAAATGGAAGCCTCACTTTGCTCTAACAAGTAATGACCCATTTATATATATATATGAATATATCTGTCTGTCTGTCTGTTTGTGTGTGGGAGTGTGGAGAAAGTGAGGTGATTTTCCATGAAGCAGCCCTTTTATGCATAAGGTTTATGTGTAGTTGTTACATATATATATATATATATATATATATATATATATATATATACACACTTTTATGTTTTATGATTATCTAAATATATATGTAGAGAAAGTGAGAAGTGATTTTCCATGAAGCAAGCACTTTAATGTCATAAGCTTTATGTGGGGTTGCACATATATATAATATATAATTATCTGTACTCTTTTATTATGTTTGGGTGGTTGTAACTTTGAAAATCCACCAAAAACATAAAATCCCATTTGTAGGAGTGTTAAAGAAAAGATGAATGTGACCTCTTTTTTTTTTGTAAGTATTGTTGTTCCCTTTTTTATTCTCTTCCTTTTAGTTAGTTTAATTATGTGATATGAAGGCTTCAAGCTACTTTATCGATCAGCTCCTGTAGGAAGGTTATCTTATATATAAAGCATATTCCTCTATTTAGATGGGGTCAGCTGCAGATCCTGTTGTCATCCCACTATATCCTGAGCTGTATTTGTTCTCTCTCTCTCACACACACACACAACTTCAGTGGAAGCTGTCCTAGATACTCTTGGAGTGTCATGTTATATTTTATTAGTTAATTTCTTGAATTAAATAGACAAGAAATCAAAATCTGATTTATTGTTATAAGTTTAATAGCTTAGTTTTGGGATAGTAGAGAATCAATATTTACCTATTACATCAATATGTCTACCTATGACATTATTAGATCATCAAATATTTTCCAGACATTGTTTTAGATCTTCAAATCTAAATTAACTGCATTTTATGAGATATCAAATCTCCTTTGTAAGACCCCTAAATTCATAAAGATTCGCATTGCCTGGTGTTCCTGGCTGGTTTCTCTTCTTTTTGAGAGCTGAATTTAGAAATCAGAGAGGGAGGAGCTGAATTTAGATCACATATTTCTCCTCGAGTTTTCACCCTAGGCTCAACCAAGTGACAGTAGAGAATGCCATATTTATTCAATGATTCAGCCATATAGAGGCCAAGAGCCTCTGGATTTGAGTCTCCGGATTCCATAAAATCTGCAAAGGGAGAGAGCCTTATTCCCAGTCTATTCGCTCCTATCTCATTAGCAATAGCTTCAACTATTTCTAGACATGTCACTCCTACAAATGGGATTTCATTCTCATTCCAAGCACTACAGAAAAGACAATCTACAACTTGTTCTAGCCCTGTATCAGGTTAACTACCTTTTTCTTTCTTTTCCTTTTCTTCGGACTACAAAATTGAGATTATAAAACTCTAAATTGATTAATTTGCTCTGTAGATTCATCTGCACTCAATAATCTCAACTATCAAAATTTCTTCTATTTATGCGCATATGTGAGTTTATATATACATCACTGGTCTTGCATATTCTGAGAAGTGGCACACAAAATATATTCTTGATTAATTTGCTCTGTAGTTTCAACTACTCTGTGAGTCTGTAACCTCAACTATTATGACATTTTAACCTATATATCTATGTGAAATTATATATATACACACACATACACTTTTTGGAATTGCATCTATCAGAAAATTATATACATACGCACACATACACATTTTAGAGAGAGATGAGAGACTCACGGGGTTAATTCCTTGCTCCTCTTTGATCTACGTCTCTGCACTCAGAATCGGAAGTTGTGGGCTCTATTATATGTTATTCACATTACACATCAACTTAAAATTTGGGCAGCTCAATAAATGGATTCCATTCATGTCAAGTTGTCATTTCAGACGCCCAGAGTGGCTTTTTTGCAGTAGATATAATCATTTCATTTATATGAATCAATGTTTCTACTAAAGGTCAAACTGAATTCATGTTGGGGCAAAATTGCTCGATCAAACCTTGGGACCTTGATAGAAAGAGTGGAAAACTTAAGTTCAATTCAATCCATAAGTCATTGGGTCTGTCTTTCCTAAGCCAACCTTATCATAATTAGGTTGATGGGTTTAGCTTCTAAAATCAAGTTGACATGAAGATCTTGAAGTCGACTCATTTATTTTGGTGACTCTTGGAGCTTATAGGTCGTATGTCTCCAACCATATTGTGTTTGCACGATTGACTTTATTATCATTAATAGTGATAGGAGATTCTAAGTTTATTATTCAATTAACGTATTTATATATATATATATAAGACGAGCTAAAAGCTTTTTTTAGCTTTTATATATATATTCATATGACGAGCTAAAAGCATTTTTTAGCTTATTAGAAAAATATATATAGGTTGATGTTCATCTTTTTCAGATTTATAAGGTCAATACATGGATTCCCAAATGCACTCATTCAAATACCTTCTTTTTTTTTTTTTTTTGGTTATGCTAATATAAAACATTACGCTTATTCTTTTATTTTACTAAACAACTCCAGAGCACAAAAAGACTGGAAAAACAAAATTGGAACTTCACTGTGGCCCTAGAGCCCACCATTAGGATTTTGGAGAGATAGTCGGTTTCTACTAAATGTCAAAATGCATCATTCCTTTTTCATATCAAGTTTTACTATGTGGGTGATGGAATCACACAACTTGCAACGGGGACAACATGGGCAGCCATTTACCATGTTTGAGAAAGTGCCTTAGAGTTGCAAGTTACAGAAAGTGCCTTGCGTTTTGGTTCCATTCTAATCTATTAAACTACCAGAACCTTAATGATTTGATCAGCCATTTTGCAGTGATGGATACTTTTTGTGTGTTAAACTCGTATCAGACCACATTATAATGATAATGGAGAGTTTTTGTAAAAAAATTAGCTCTGTCAAACCCATGGTTTGTTTGTTAATATTTTTCTGGTGCACCAACTACCCACAAAGTTTCTAACAATAATTTGACAGTAGTGAGCCTTAAATTTATTTAAATGTACAAATTTTTTTCTATTTGTTGAGAAACAGCATGTCATACAAGAAATGGCATACAAGAAATGCCATTGTTTACTGTATGCGCGCATGTTATAAACCGAATCACTTTAATCTCTCTATTTTTATGTGCTGGTGCATGTGTGATTACATTTTCTGTTATTACTTGATTTATTCCTATGCCATATTTTTTTAATTTGATAGCGAACTTAAATATTCTGCAGGATGCAATGAAAGAAAAGGCTGCACAAAATTCTCAAAATTCTGATGGTACGAGTCCATCCATAAATGATGTTGAGATAGTACAAAACCAACTAGGCATAAGGAAGGGATATTGCCGTGGATTTGGACATGGTTTCGTGGCTCCAAAGCGTCAGCGTGCCTCTTCATCATATGATGAGGCTTCTAGGAAAAGGGCCGAAATTGTTGAAGAAAGAAGTGTACAAATGGCAGAAAAAATGGAAAAACTTGAGAAGATGCTTGAGCAGTACGAACAACAGCCGCCACCATGGTTCCTCCAATATCAGTAGCAGCAGTAGCAGCCGCCACCATGGTTCCTCCAATTCCAACAGCAGCAGCAGTCGCCACCATGGTTCCACCAACAACAGTCTCCATCAGATTCCCAACAGCAGCAAACCGCACCAAATTGGCATCAACAACCACCGCCACCTCCAGCAGACTAGTATTTTTAACAGCCGCCACCAACAACAAGATGGCAATATCAGCTGCCGCCACCAACATAGTCTCACCAGTAAGCACCACCACAACCACCAACAGAATGAATAATGGATCTTGAAGAGGATGGAACAATTTTTTGTGCTACCACATGGTTTTAGTTTTTGTTTAGAAAACTAGAGATTTTATATTTTATGGATCTTGAATATATATATTGTGGATTGATTTTATTCTATGGATAGTAATATTTTTTTGAATGTTATTGTGGATCTATTTTGTATATGTTTTGTATGTATGTATCCGAAATGGTTAAATTCACAAATTAAGCATACAATATATATATATATAGACGGTTTAATATAATAATTATAATTAAAATAATGTAGTAGGAACGGTCCTGATCGTCCCTAATACAATAATATATTAAAATATATAATTAAATTAATCTATTAGGGACGGTCTGACCGTCCCTAATACAATATATGAAAATATATAATTAAAAATAATGTATTAGGGACGGTCCTGACCGTCCCAAATACAATAATATATTAAAATATATAATTAAAATAATATATTAGGGACGGTCTGACCGTCCCTAATACAAAATATATTAAAATATATAATTAAAAATAATGTATTAGGGACGGTCTGACCGTCCCTAATATAATAATATATTAAAATATATAATTAAAATAATCTATTAGGGACGATCTGTCCGTCCCTAATACAATAATTATAATTGAAAAATTATATATTAGGGACGGTCTGTCCGTCCCTAATACTCTAGTTTTTGGGGACAGTCATTTAAACTGTCCCTAATTCGTACCTTA